GGCCGGCTCCTTCAGTCTGCTAACATGGCGTCGGTAGTGATCGTCGACGTGGACGGCGTGGTGAAAGCTCATCGTTCCGCGTAAAAGCGCTATTCTTGAGCGGGAATTTTCGTCGTGTGTCACTATGATAATCCGGCACGTACTAGAAGGGAAGATCCACCAACTCGTGCGGCGATGTCGTGGCGGCACTCTCAAGACAGCTGAAACGCCCGTGCCGTCGTGTTTGTTTACTTCGACTACAGTGGTGCTTTCTAAGCATTTGTGTCCTCGAGCATCACCCGGATTTCTTATTTGGCGCATTTCATGCGTGTGCTCAAGTTCAAGGTATTACTGGCGCGTACCGTATAAAGGATGCGAATTTTCACGCGTTTTCATCTCCGGAGAAAAGTATTTAGTGTTAGCAATCCTGAACTCTCGCAACGTCTATCTGATCACAAAATCATATTTTTACGTTGCTATATCCCTGCTTACATCGTCTTTTATAATCGTAGAAAAGGCGTGTGGCGAGATTTGTACTATTGGCAAAGTCATGTATAGAGTCGTGATCGTCCAAGACGGCGTACTGCATCTTTTTCTTTTCTTTTTTTGATCCACTGTACCCTGCAAGCCAATCATAAAAAAAAATATAATAATAAAAAAGCTTTAGGCTATAGAAAACTTTATGTCTATATTCTGTTACGGCATTGAGTGGCAGTGCGTCCCCTTTTCAGAGGCCCCGGGGAAACAGTTGACGGCGGCGTAGAAGCGGTCGCCGTGCTGACGACCCGCTGCGCTAGTTCCAGTGGTTGTAGCCGACGCAGATCGGTCGTTCCGGTCGCTCCGGTTGCAACGGACGCATCGCGCTCGTTGCGCATGTCTGAACCAGCTTTAACAAGCAAACACTGTCTCCAAAATCAAGCTCAAGCAGTGCTAAACATCAAAGTAGAAATGATACATCCGCAGTACATCACTGATCAGAAAAAAAAAGTACAAAACAATTATTCACACAGAAGCAGAACCAGCTATTGAAGCATTTATGTGAAAACACAAGCCGCTCTTTATATGGCTAGCAGAATTTCCCTAACGAATCAAAACATTTATGTACTTTCTTGTTACTATAAAAATATAAAAGTAACTTCAAAAGTAATTCCCTACTTTGTTTCGGTGGTTAGTAACTTAATCAATCACTTTCTATTTGAGTAATGTCTACTCTACTCAAGTTTCTTTTGAGCCCGATGATCAGCAACTTAATTACTTTCTTTAGTAACTTGTACATGTCTGCGCTAAATGCAAAAATGAAGTTACGTTTTCTGTTAGTGGGATATATTTATGCTCATTATTGAATAGAAAACACTCAGTATTATGACGGTATACCGAAAGCTTCCAGTCAACTTTCCGTGGGGAGGGCAGAGGGGACCGGTCAGGATGGTGACGACCGATCATGATATTCGCCCGATGGAAGTCCCCCGGAAAGTCGAATAAGAAAAACAACAACTAAAAGTTGTTCGATCCCGCTGGACAGGTTACGACGTTGGTTGGTTTACGATGGCCAGTGTGGCCACGTTTATTTTCAAAACAAAACGACAGCAAGTCAACAATAATTTACAGAACTCCCAAGATTAAAACCCATACATTAGTCCCCCAGTCTCAAGAGCCGAATCTGCCTGATCTCAAAAGCCGAATCCCCGAGAATCCTCTCGGCAGCCCTTTTCTAGTCTCGTAGGGGCCTCCTTTCCCTCCAGAAACGGGCCAATCACTTCAAATTTGCCTATTGTCACGTCACAAATTTGCCCATTGTCTCTTACCCAATGACCAGCGAGCTGTCAACGTGACCCCCCTCCGACACTTCAACGGTCAAACCTAAATTCTCTGTAGAGTAACCACATGCTTTCTCAGCCGTCTGGCTGGCGCCACCAAGTTAAGTTATTGCGTCGACTAAATGCGAAGTTTTCTACACTAAGCGGCGAAATATGCCGGACACAAGCACACCCGCTTAAAAGCCACAAGTGCGGACAGAAGCCCAAGACAGGGGTGTTCTGGCGCCCCAACTGAAACCCAATCCGTTTGTTAACGACCGGTGTCCGACTCTTCTCTACCGAGCCCCGCGGCTGCTCGAAGCCCCCCGCGCTTGAGTGAACAAGACGACTCCCCGTTCACGCTCTCACCCCCTGCCGCGGGTCTGGGAGCAAACGCCCAAAAATATGGACACAAACATAGGCAGATAAAAAAAACGACGCCGACGCAACTGTAGAAAGATAGACTTTTCTAAAATAAATCTTACTTATTTCTGACAATATCCTTCGTTACTTAACACTTCCCCTTGTACGGTCAGAATCCTTCAAGACCGTGTAATTTTCCAGCGCGTCCTAATGTGTCCTATCTCTATAAAAGGGTTCCGTCTCAAATAAATTACTGTCTTTGTTCGAAGGTGTTGTGTGCTGTCCCTTCCTTTTAAGGGTCTTTCCCTTTCTTCCCTGTGTCATGTAAAATTATGTCAACTTTCACAAACTCGCCTGCGCGCTCGTCCTTCTTTCAATTAAGAATTTATTTTTCTTGCATAACCTCACTTTCAGCAAATTAAGCGCAGCGTTCGCTTCAAAAGGGAGACGCTTGCGAGTTGTAATAAAAATTTATTTTCGCGCGTGTGGCACGTTGACAACATGTCCCGCTACGTAATCTGGCTGAGCGAAAGTTAATTTTTTTGCTTGATAATCCAGAAAAAAATATTTAAAGTTTTACTAACGCGAATTTTGCCCAAAGCTTAACATGCTTCAATGTTAACGCTAGAGTAGCCTCTTGAAAAGCGCTAGGGAAAATTTGCTAATTATTTTATGAGCGCAGCGAAGTCTTACTTTTTACCTTAAAAACTTGCTCAGGAAACACTCATTTGTGACTTAGTGCATTATATAAAGCCAAAATCTGCAAGAGAAAGGACCTAACCGGCCTCGTTGAAATGTGAAGGTAGTCGGTTGCTTTAGCTCTTCCTGTCGTTCGTCCAGGAACTCTTCATGCACCCTCTTCAGAACTGCATCAACCTGCATTGGCGCTCACCAGTTCTTAGGTTAACAGCGTGTGATTAGATCTGAGTCCTCGCCGAGCTCTGACGCAGTGATCATTTTCTTTACGAGCTCGACCATGTTCATACTGAACGCTGACGTAGGTTTGGCGCCCAATGGATGCTTGGAATGCGTGCCCAAAAATGGCAGAATAGGATAATTATCGAAGCAGCTATTCGATAAGATGTTATTTTGAAAAGAATATATTGCATCGTGAGTATGTTCGTTCAACATGATGAAACTCTCAATGTTATTACTCGACTTTTTTTCTAACGCAGAGCTGTGTCGAGAGCATGTACCGCAATATTACTTCGCAAATGCAGTATCCTGACGACCATTGAGGATGCGCTTGATGCCTCTGGAAGGCGATCTCACCAATCCCACAATAACCTTGAGAATGATTTTAAGTACAATAAAGTGGAGTGAAATAAAATCCGCTACAAATCATGTAACCATTGCTAAAGCTTCAATTCTTCAAAATGTTTTCCACAAAACTTTAACAATATTGTACTCACAAGACCGAAAATGTTAATCATCGTTTATCACAGCAGGCTATATATATATATATAGAAAGAGAGAGAGAGAGAAATGTAGTGCAGGATGACGAAAAGTATATACGGAAGAAAACGCACCTGAGACGGTTGTTGGAGTTTTTAAAACATATTATTGGTAAAGTTGGTCGACGTTTCGGCCTGAGTCAGGCCTTCTTCAAGACTGGCTGCACAGAGCTATTTTCGCTTCCACATCCGAGCCGCGTCACGTGTCAAATCACGTGTAAAAAAAATTAAAAAAAAAGAGCGCCGCGCTTGGTTGCAGCGGAGGTCGCCAGCCATCGGAGCCAACTAAAGGCCATATCAGATTTCGCGACCCCAGGCACGGAGTGCGTCGAGTGCGGAAGACGCACCACATTCACAGAGTTCGGTCGGCCCAGACGGCCAGCAACGCACGCCGCGAAAAAATGTAAAAAAAAGGAATATATATATATATATATATATATATATATATATATATATATATATATATATATATATATATATACAACGGGCATGGTGGGGGGAGGCCGAAGGCGTGGGTATATAACTGAGAAGAAAAAACCCTTAGTGAAAACAGCAACAACGGACGATTTATTTTTCGACGTTTCGGCCGGAGTCCAGACGAAGGCCGGACTCCGGCCGAAACGTCGAAGAATCCTGGCTCCGCCATTTTTTGGCTTTCGGCGGGTTCCTGAAAACTTCGATTCTTTAATTCATTGGATTAAGTACGGTTCATTCATCTGCACATATTCGTTTATATCCCCCTCGGAGACCACGTACGATGACGTGAAGTGCCCGTGTTGTATATTCAATAACGTGACTCTTGATTCTCGCAGATGATGATGATACCGTGTCTCTAAAAGCTCATAAACAAAGAATACTACATGTACACGGGGCGAGACAAACAGTGGGAGGATTTCTGGAGCACAAACGAGCACGTACCACGTGACACTAAGCGTCGTACCGCGTTCCACGCGGCGGCGTGTGTTTCCAGAACACCTCCGATTGGACACATTTCGTTTCTTGTGCATTAATAAGACAGGTAGGAAACGCCAGAAAGCTAAGGTGGAGTGGTGTAGTGGTTAGCACACCCGACCGGACATTGGGAGGCCCAGAGTTCATATCCTGGCTCCGCCATTTTTTTGGCTTTCGGCGGGTTCCTGAAAACTTCGATTCTTTAATTCATTGGATTAAGTACGGTTCATTCATCTGCACATATTCGTTTATATATATATATATATATATATATATACTTCCCCGCGCGCCCGCTCGTCACCCCGGTTGTCGGTCCTCTTTATTCTCGTCTTTCTTCCCATTCCCCACACATCCCCCCCTTGGGGGGAAGTGAGCGCTGGGTTTTGGTGGCAGCGATGACCGCCTGCAGGAAGCGGTTGCCATACTTAAAGAGGAAGTGGTGGTCGGTGAACTGCTGCTAAGTCTTCTTGTTCATGCCGGTCAGCGGGTAGTAGGTGCCCTTCAGCTCGCCCTCCAGCGCGCGCAGAGTCGAGCTCACTTTCTCCTCCATCTCGCAGCACTGGGTCTCCATCACGCACGGGTTGAAAGGGAAGACCTGCAACGAGCATCCGCAGCGCACGCGGATGGTGATGACGACCTGGTCGTCGGGGTCCACGTTGACCAGGGTGCTGAGGTCTCTGAAGTCCATGGGCGGGTGCTTGTCGGTCGCCTTGAAGGCGCCGTGGTTGTCCTCAATCACCTGGTTAAACAGGTCGGCGAACACCATGTACAATGTGGCATCCGAAGCGCAAAGGCCGACGCCTCTGTCGAGGTTCTCCACGCCGAACTGTGTGATGTCGTACAAGGTGGCTCCCATGGCCGTCTTGCGAGTCTTGAGTTTTTCGAAGCGATGTTTGGTGATGTAATTCTTCAGCAGCGACTTGTAGTCCTTAGAATCCTGGAACTTTCTGAAGCCCGCATTCAGCTGGTCTAGCATTGCCTGGTCGACCATGTTGCTGCCTGAGTTGTGATGACCACCGGAGTTCGACGATAACCAGGCGCCGTACACGAACGGCACAACCACGCGCTTGAGAAGCGAGTAGTTTCCTTTCATGACTCTGATGTAGTGTCGAGCCGAGTCGGCTTTGTTGTAGCTTTGACCTTCGCGGCTGTAATGACTCGGCCCCGGGTTCGTGATCGTCTGACTCGCGACGTTCGGTGCTACGGTGTCGTCTTTTGGCGCGACGTTCCACTTCGGCGGATCGGGAGGCGTGACGGCTGGCGGGAACGACGGTGGAAGCAGATCCTGGCTTTCGGCGCTCTGAGCTTATGGGGGTTCTTTATGGGGGTCTCTCTCTACTAATAATCCCGCCCGATCGGTATGCGCTCCGCCCGTCACCCAGGGAGTTACACACTGCAACGAGAAGACAGTGAATGGGTTTACTGTACCTCTCGGTTGCCCGTCGTCGAGAGCCGGTAGTCCCGGCCCGCCGACCCTTGTTGTCGCCCGTCGATCAGAGCTCACAGTCGGGGTCCGTGTCCAGGCCTGCGGATCGCCTTTCCCACGCCAGCGCTGCGTAGGCTGGCTGTCCCGGGCTATCAATGCCCGAGTCTCGCTGCGGAACCACCCTGGGATCGTCATAGCCCAGGTCATATGGCCCGGGCTCGCCGTTTCCACCGGTCTTGCTCCAGACCTCGCTGGTGGACCGCTCCGGGGTTCGTTATGGGCTAGGCCAGGCCTAGGCCAGGCAGCTTGGCTTCGACGTTCCTTGTCCAGCTACAAGCCTCGCTCAGCTCGCACTTCTCGGCCGGCCGCCTGTCACGTGCCCTCCGCCTCGTCTTTCACCCTCGGCTTCCACACTCTCCCCCCCTCAAGGCCCGGACTTCGGGGGACTTCATGGGCCTCAAAGAGCCGTTGGACTTCATGGGCGGTCGCTGTTGCTGTTGCCGGAGTGGCCAAGTTGCAGCGTCCGAAAGCGGCGTAGGTGGTGGTGGCTAGCGAAGCCGGCAGACAATGCCGACCTGTCTGTCGCTCGCTGTCTCACTCACCGCGATGCAGCAGGGGGCTTGCTCTAAGCTGGTCCGGCCGATGCAGACGGACTTGCCCCGTTCCGCTTAGAGGTCACAGCGGGCTTAGAACTGCCCGCCTGAACCGTTCGTCAGGCCGAACAACTGTCAGCCACCCTGAGCACTTGGGAAAACGAATGGACCCGTCTTCCCTCCCGGTGGGCTTCCTGGGTTACGCCGTCTATGGCCATCTCTCCAGGAAGCTACTCTGCGCAGAACAAAGTGTTAAAACAACACACAACGAACAAATACTCTGCCGCAGATTGTGGCAGTGACCATAGCCTCCACCGCCAAATTGCTTGCCGACGGGTTCGTCCACCATGCGGCTAACTCAGCAAGTCTGCATCCCAGATCTCGCTCCTGGGTTGCCAAGAACACGGGATTTCTTGTGTCCTATCGCAACCTCATGTTATACGTGTTCCCCATCGCGACAACGGTAGTATCCTTTGAAGTCAGCGATGTGAACCGGGCAAGCCTCCTCACTTGTATCCGCCGAGTAAGCCTAGAAGTAAGACACGACGCTCGCGTCTTTATACCTCGGGTGCCCTTCTCACCTCGGAGCAAGCGATGCGGCAAAACCACTAGCTGCGTTGCTCAAAGCGTGAGTTTCCTTCAGAACAGGTAACGATGGCGTAAACCTAGTCCATATTTTGCGCAAGCGAAGGGATCCAAAGCCTGTGGCGGGATGACCAAATACAATACCCGCGATTCCGCAACGGCTACATATACCATGTGCTACTCGATGTAAGCGTCAGCGTCCCATTCCGTCCGCGTGCATACGAGCTATAGGGACTGCTCGGTCCTCGGAGGGGGCGGCAGCTCAGCGAGCAAGCCCGCTTGAATCGTTCACGCCTCAAGGCAAGCTGGACAACTACAAGCCACCTAAATGTCTACCGCCTCATCCCCGGCCAGGTCGTGACGCGACATAACTTATCAAAAGTCTTGCTGTCACTGCCACGACCGGCCAGAGTGAAGCCGAAAAGGTATCCCATAAAACATTTCGTAGCTTTCTCGGAACGACCCCCCTCAAGGGAGAGTCGTCCCTCTGCCCTTCGTCGGTTGTTGGAGTGACGCGAAACAACTAGCCGTCTTGGCCCAGCGGTTACAAATCATACTGCTCCTTAACTCGCCTGCCAGCGTTCCCGGTGTCAACTGCAATTTGCAACAGTTGATCCAACACCCGCTGACAATCTCGACCGCCAGTGTTCCCGGTGTCGACTGCAATTCCCGCAATCTTTCCAACACCCACTGACAAAACCCCATCTGCACCCCGGGCCTCGACAAGCGCTTGCTTGCCTACCGCATCACTCCAAGCCTAAATCCTAAATATGGAATAAGTCCTGGCTGTGTTCCCTCCTGCCAGTCGCTATCCTGCCTTCCAGCGAACATGCCGTGGCTCTCCTCTGCCTCCGAAGACAACTTCCTTACATCTTAACCGCGCTCCTCGTGTTCCCCCCGGCTGGGTCACCTTCTGCCAACCACTATTCTGGGGTACCCGAGAACGCGCGTCCGCAACCTCGTCCTTCGAGACCTTTAAGTACTCGATTCGAGGAGACACCTGCTGAGCTCTGCTTTGAGACAAGTCACCATAATTCCAACATACTTTGTCTCAACGGGCATCGTTAGCGTTAGTGAACAACCCGCTCAACGAATCCATGGGACTCTCTGGGGACGACTAGAAGCAGAGGCATACCGAACGGGCCCCACGTTGGATGCGCCATTTTAATGTGGGGTTCTTTACGGAGGTCGCTCTCTACTAATAATCCCGCTCGATCGGTATGCGCTCCGCCCGTCACCCAGGGAGTTACACACTGCAATGAGAAGACAGTGAATGGGTTTACTGTACCTCTCGGTTGCCCGTCGTCGAGAGCCGGTAGTCCCGGCCCGCCGACCCTTGTTGTCGCCCGTCGATCAGAGCTCACAGTCGGGGTCCGTGTCCAGGCCTGCGGATCGCCTTTCCCACGCCAGCGCTGCGTAGGCTGGCTGTCCCGGGCTATCAATGCCCGAGTCTCGCTGCGGAACCACCCCGGGATCGTCATAGCCCAGGTCATATGGCCCGGGCTCGCCGTTTCCACCGGTCTTGCTCCAGACCTCGCTGGTGGACCGCTCCGGGGTTCGTTATGGGCCAGGCCAGGCCTAGGCCAGGCAGCTTGGCTTCGACGTTCCTTGTCCAGCTACCAGCCTCGCTCAGCTCGCACTTCTCGGCAGGCCGCCTGTCACGTGCCCTCCGCCTCGTCTTTTACCCTCGGCTCCCACAAGCTTCAACTGAAAAGTGCTGACTTTCGACGCCTCCGCTGGAACGGGAGACGTTCACTGTGGTCCCGGTGTTAACGTGGACTCGGATGCGCAGTCCACTCATGGCTACGGTGTTGGCACGGATGCGCATAATTCGGCACGCTCTTCGTCGGTGTAGGTCGATGGTGTGTCTTCTGCGCACCGCTCAATCTGTTACGGAGTCGCCGACGCGCCGACGCTAGCGAGCTCCAAAGTCCAAAGCGACCGAGAACAACCGTTCGCGCGCAGCCCGAGATCTAAACATCCGTTCGTGCGCTTCGCGCGTAACCTGAGAGTCCCGTACCAGAGGCGCCTTTCTTTTATTTCGTTTTATATTTAATAAACGAGACGTCAGTTTTCAACCTGACTCCGGCACGAAAGGTTGTCTGTGTGTGCCCTTCGCCAAAGAACGTAAAACGAAACATGGTGTCAGAAGTGGGACCGCTCCGCGTGTCTACTAATAATTAGTAAAGCGCAGGATCGACTACAAACGAAGGAACAATGGACAAGCCCTCAAGTTCTGCCGACAACGGTGCTACCGAACAAACGGTAACGGCAACTTTTCGCATCTCGACACCCGAAGCCTTCAGTTTTACAACGCTTAACGAATGGCCGGCGTGGAAGAGATTCAAGCGCTTTCACAGTATCAGGACTGGCATCTCAACCATCATCACACTAAGTCGACGCTCTCATTTACATCATGGGAGTGCAAGCGGAAGACGTCTTACAGACCTTCAAGCTGTCCGACACCGAGGCTCAAGATTTCGAGAAGGTGATGTAGAACTTCGAACGTTACTTCATTCCCCGTCGAAACGTGGTGTATGAGAGAGTCATGTTCAACACAAGATCGCAACTAGAGACGGAAACCGTCGAGGAGTACGTCACTGCTCTCCATGGATTAGCCACTACGTGCAACTATGGGCCACTGAAGGAAGAACTGACCTGCGACAGGCTGATTTTTGGTCTTCGGGAAAGCAGGACTTCGGAAAAACTTCAACTGGATCCTGATCTGGACCTGCAGAAGGCCATCGCTACTGCGCGACAATCGGAAGTGATTGAGAAGCAACAAGTGGAACTCCGACCGACAAAAGAAAAGGATGCCAACCTTGACCGTATAGCAGCCAAAAATAGGACAGCAGCAGAACCTGCTCAGAGAGGAATTGAACGTTCAAATGTTCGAACTCCTTCTAAGAAGACCGCGACATTCAAACCAAAAGGCAAACCGTGCCGTTGATGTGGTCGAGAAGCTCACCCGAGGAGCGTGTGTCCGGCGAAGAACGCAGGCTGCAACAGGTGTAAGAAAAAGGGACATTTTGCAACAATCTGCAAATCTTCAACTACCGTGAACTCTCTCGTACACGAACAAGGATTCGTAGGAGCTGCAACTTCTCCTAAAACAGCAAAATGGGACATCGAGATATTTGTCGACAAAACTCCTGTTGTTTTCCGAATAGACACTGGAGCAGATGAAACGGTGTTACCAGCTGCCATCTTTCAAAAGGTCTTCGCAAAGTGCCACAAGCTCTCCGAGCCCCAACGCCGACTTCATGGTCCAGACGAACGACCCCTTAAAGTCATAGGATCAGCTTGGATGAAGCTCAACTGCCGTGGGCAACAAGCACTCGAAGAAGTTTACATCGTGAAAGGACTTCGCAGACCTCTCTTGGGTAA